TAGCTAAGAGCACCCCTTGGTGCGCTACATACTTTTCACGTGATCAGTCTACAAGCGAACTAGGTAGGGGATAAGGAACGAGCTTTCCCCAACTTTTTTTTGAAGTTCATTCTTTTGTCCTGTCTGAGTCTATGACTATGTAGGACATGCAGGTCTTCTCTGCCTACAGGCCAAGGATACCTATACCAGTAGTATATCCCCTCCTATCCCTCCCATACAGCTCCCCTCAAACATTACCACCCCTCACAAGTCCTCATTCGATCATACACTTGGAGGAGCCCTTAGCCCTTCATTATCTCCCCTCTCCAGCCAACGAAGCGATGGCCATTTGCGGGTGTATGGCAGTCGGGAAAAATCGCAAAAACCACTGGGTGCAGGGCTCCTCTAATACCGACATTAGGACTAAATCCGAAGACATAGTGTCCCTTCGGAAGCGTTCGAAGAGGCCGGCCAGCTGGGCGCTGCAAACTTGTGGGTTCCTCGAAAAAATGACTTTCTGCCTTTCTAGCCTCCTTCCAACTCCTTCCCGAAGGTCGTGCTGAAATGTCAGAAAAGTCTTCACAGAGCGTAATTGCTGTATGGTAGCTTAGCCTAACTTCTTTTATGCCGTCCAGGGCAGCTTTCCCCAACTGTAACATAGCAATAATCACAGTAACCTCACTTCTGCACATCAATAAAGATACCTCGCTGTAAACTATCTTAGCTGTTCTAGCGCAAGTGTACATACCCAAATTATATATCAATCACAATTCTAATACACATCAAAAGAAGTGTTGTATTTGTTGCAAGCCTGCTTATAGGTCAACAAGACACTGGCTTGACGAAAGTAAGCTAGGATTTTCGAGGTTTCATAAGGAATTCAAACGAGCCAGCACAACTACAAGTGCGTGAAGGTACACATGTTTCTGATGTGTACTGCTTTAGCACTGCAGTCGCGTTACTGCTTTAGTTATAGCGCAGACAATTCAGAGTATGTATGTATGCAGAAATTTCGTATCAGGCAAAAGCCCTACATCCAAGATGCATGATATGGGGTGTGATCTCTAAAGACTCACTACTACCTATTTGTCCAGGTTTCTAGGCCGAGTGTTTATATGGAAGAAGAAATAAAGAAAATTGCCTAGATAAAAAGCGCCCTGCGCCTTGCCCACTTTCATATTCAACTGCTAAAGATGTTCCAGTCCCTCGGGAGGGTTTGGTCCTTGTTGGTATGACAGGGTCAATCTCTGTGATATCACAGGTAATGAGAATGGGGTTTGCTACTGCAAAAGTGGTGACTGACTGAGATGCATATGTATATGGATCTCTATCTGTGGACGCCCCTGAAGCGTTGATAAAACCTGAGTCCATTTGTGAGCCTAAGATATGAATCTAAACCTCAGGCCTACCAGAGCAAGTGCTCCAACAGTCCTCTCAATGTGAAAATTGCCCTGCTTCGCATCTCGTTACGATTGTGATCTTCAAACCCACAACTCCAACCATCCCGTGAAAACTATACCTTTAAATACTCAAATGTAGGAAAATAAGATCGTGTTTCTAACCGCACTCTTCCCAAGATCAATTCACACCCATAACTCCTTATGCGTTGCCTCATCGACCCGTCAATTGGGTTTGGCTTTTTCAACCCAGCCTTGCACACGCAAGGTCATCTTGTTGATGTTGATGAGCTTTTTAAGAGTTCTGTTAACTGCTGATTTGGTCATCGCATCAGCAGGGTTATCCTTACCATTGATCCACCGAACCTCGTGGACTTCACCCCTCTCGTAGCTCTGCCGCAGCGCCATGATATCGATCATGAGGCGTTTCTCCTTTGTAATGCCAAGCTTGACGAGACACTCGTACAGCGACCTGCTATAGGTGCAGACGATTATGGGGATGTGAGGGATATCGAGATTGTGGACGGTGCCAAACTTAATGGCGATATTATTAATAGTTCCCGCAATCGCTACAGCCATATCAACGCCGTGAGCCATTGCGTAAATTTCTGAGGCCAGAACGCTGCGCGTGACGCGTTTGCACTTTGTGGACGACCAGTGAATGGTATTCCCGGTCATCTCAAAGCTATCATCTAGGTCCTCCTCGCTGCCGAGCGCAATGATGTAGCCGATTATGGAAGGTGTTGTGGTCCGGTATAGTCTGAGTAGCCTGGGCACCTACTCCACTTGGGAAAGAGATATCTCAGATTACATTTCGCGCGGAGAAAAGTTGAAAGATGATGGAGGCACGTCTGGATAACTCAGGGTTTTTGGGATGTTCCCCTGGGTGGGTATTCACGGATGAGGGTTGACTTGGGGTGAAGAAAAAGCCACCATAACTTCGCAGTGGTACTTGCAAATGAAATCCGAGACATGAGTGCTCCTGTTGTGAATTGAGTCATCTTTTCTGTACTTTTTTTTGATATTGTGTCATAGCTAGATAGCTGCATACGCAATTAAAATCTGATGCAAAAAAAAAGAATCTAACGGCGCGAGCGGCTTGTATCTTGCTTCTACGTGATTTGTTGTCTAATCAGCTATAGAGCTATGACACATGATCATTGTCTCGTGCGCAGCTAAGTTGCCTTTTTTTGCTTCAGAGGCACTTATAATCTACAATCTATTTGCAAATACCACCAGGAGCTATTTTTGCTATCAAGGAACAGTCGGCCTTCCTCCATCAATACTGGCCACTAGGAAATTCAAAAACCCTTGGTTTGCCAGGCAAGCTCACGTTTGGACGCTTAAACATTGGATTCTCAAGGCAATAGGGCTTGGAATGGAGCAAGAGATGGGTGAGGGTCAACGACGAGGACGGGTCGAAACTTGTATGCTTGATGATAATTAGCTCATTCCATCTCACCACCAGCTGGTGGTCGAAGGAAAGCGGGACATTGCGGCTAAGCAGCATGCTATGCTATGCCATGCAAATGCACATATACACATCTATCATGAGCGCACACATACTTGCAAATTACACTTGACGGTTAACTGTCCAGTCATTCCACCTTAAATCCATGTGTTATTTTGATTCTTCAATCATACTGATTCAATCTTACACTTCGATAAGATAGCCTCTCGAACTACAGGCTTTTTTAGCCTCATATTCTGACAAAGCCAAAGTTAGCACAATTTGTGATATCAAGGCCCATAATGGTGATAAAGTTTTGATCACCTTGCGGGACTCCGGAAGGAATAAACATCTGTTAGGACTAGCAAGAGTGATGTACTACAGGTTCTTATTCATACATTCCCGCTCCATCTATTAGTTCGGTCGATCACCACCATCCGAAAAGCAGGTGGACTGTTTGGGCCGGAGGAGGATCACCTAATAAAACAGACTTATTGGGGATCTAGAATAAATTCTATCCTTGTCCATGTCTAACTCTCAAGTGCATACACCATGTAACATGAATCTAGACTCTCAGGTTTACTGACATCCAAACAAACTACTCCATGTCTCACGCCAGTTGCTTAAGCATGTGCATCCTGACTATTCATGATTAAAGCAACGAATCCGACAACCAAAGGTCCTGGGTCAACTCGAGCCCGGTGCTTTTTGTTGGCTCAATAGTGCCCAGGATTCGGCGTTGCATTTCGCAGGCACCAGTCGGCGCTTTCGATACGTTATTCCGAAGAAAACCCGAAATTTCCCCCAAGCAATTGTCGGGGACGATTGGGAGGAGCTCGTTGCGGTAGGCTGTCTATCCCCAATTCTACCAGACATCACTAACACGTCGAAAAAGGACGCAAGAAAGTCTATTGCGGCGGAGAGCGGGCGGGTTCCTGATGATTCATAGATTGTGATGATCAGTTGGTCTCTCCCATTGGTTGTGAACAGTGAGTAGATCCCTTGCTGAGGTTATCGCACTTGTACACCGATGCCGATGCAGTATGGGTGCTGGGTTAGGGTCGAGCAAAACGATATCCGATTGGGAGCTGATTCGACTTGGGCGGAAATTTAGTTGCCGCAAGAAGCTAAAGCTCATAAAGACTAGGAGCAAGCACATATTTTTGTCGCTGAGCAAGTAAAAAAACCTCATACATCCAGGATAATGGGTCGTCTCGCCTAGTGCTGCAAGGCCCAATTTCCTTAATATCAAAGATGTTTAAGTTTCTCCAAACAAGATGTGCTAGTGTTATTCGCACAGCTGGCCTGCAACGATGGGACCGGAAGTAGGTGATTCATCTCTAGACCAGGCTTCCTAGCACAACCTTGCCTTATCAGATTGTCTCACCCTGACATGGCTAATGTCATCTGATAACGGGCCTTGGCGAGGATTTACCAGGCTGTGTGACGCTATCCCTGCTAATGCAATTGTTGCATGATTGTCTGCTTCACTGTACCCCCGGCACTAGGCGGCACAGGCCGCTTCAAGCTTCCAACCGTTAATCCACAGATCACACGGTGTTTCCATCCTTTCGAAATAAGGCACAAAAATTTCCCGTCAGTGTGAGTAGATATCCTTCTGCCCAGAACTGGTTTGGAGGAAAAGAAAGACGGATAGTTAGGGAGTCGTGTAGAGGATCCTTGGCAAATGCATTGCTAGCATGGATGATCGATAATCCCAGTCGACTCATCATTATCGATCAATGTCCATAAACTCGCCACGTTATCGGTCTTCTTGGGCAACACAGTTCGCCAACCCCGAGTTTGCCGGTGCCCGATCAGTCTTGTATTTTCTCGGGCCGGCCTCGCTACATATTCCCGCCTCGAAATAGGTCAGGCCCATGTTCACCGTACATCTCCGACCAACTCGAGGTGTGTGTCTAGCAAGTTGTAACTTTTATCAGAGAATACAGTTTTCAACAAGCTGTAACTATAGATTAGTCATTACAATCCTTCCCTACTTCTGTTCTACTGTCAGGGGATAGATAGCTTGGTTCCGTTTAGTCTTTCGTCGATTCGTGTATAGATATTATCAATCATAGCATGTTTCTTTCTGTCCAAGTTAAACTATCGTCTGAGGTTGGCCAGCTAACAAGTTTTGATGCCTCTTCACTCACTTCCAAGGTGATATTACGATGTCACCCTCAGCAACTACAATGATTGAGAAATCTAACTCTCAGATCCACGCAAATCTAAACGGAACGAATCAAAGTCCTCATAGTTCAAGTATTAACACCCATGGAAAGTTCTCTCCTACCGAAGCTTTCGTAGATGAGCCTCTAGACATGCTCGGCATAGGATTTGGTCCGGCTTCGTTAGCAATTGCTATTGCCCTGCATGATTCTGTAAGCATGTCAAATCCAAGAGTCCTATTTCTTGAGAAACAGTCTGCATTTTCCTGGCACGCTGGAATGCAAATCCCCGGAGCACACATGCAGATATCATTCCTAAAAGATCTAGCTACACCCAGAAATCCACAATCTAAATTCACCTTTATAAATTATCTTCATACACAAGGCAGGCTGAACCAATTTATCAATCTTTCAACCTTTTATCCAAGTCGACTCGAGTACGAGGATTATCTTCGGTGGTGTGCTAGTCATTTTGAGGTCCAAGGTATGGTCAATTACGGGGTAGAAGTCAAAAGAATTCATGCCGGTCGCAAAAATTTACAGGGCAAAGTATCCAATTGGGAAGTTATATTTCAGGACTCGAATGGACGTACAATGATGCAAAAGGCCCGTCATGTAGTCATTGCAGTAGGAGGAATCCCGGTACTTCCCAAGGAGCTTCTTGGTCTCCAAAATGTAACGCACTCCTCACAATTTGTTTCCACCATCAAAAACCTCCAGGAAACGAAAAAGAGTCATAAACTTCGCTTTGCCGTGGTAGGGGCTGGGCAAAGTGCTGCAGAAATATTTAACGAGCTCTGGTCGAGAATGCCTGAATCTGATGTCCGACTTATAATTAAAGGAGAAAATCTCCGATCTTGTGATGATAGTCCATTGTAAGTAAAGATTCTCAAATGTTACTAACGCTTTTTTTAATTAAACTCCTTATTAACATTTTTAGCGTTAATGAAATTTTTGACCCGGATCGTGTCGATGGTATTTATGCTCAACCCTCTGAAAATCGCAGTGCCTCCTTACTTCTTGATCGTGGCACAAACTATGGTGTCATTAATCCTGCTCTCTTAAAAAACATATACGAAAAGCTCTATATACAAAAAATATCCCCCAAATCGACCGTAATTGGAAAAGCATGCATTTTGAAGAGCCGCACCGTTGTGCATGCCCGTTCAGTACCGAATAGTACAAGAATTTTCCTCACTCTGGGAGATACAATGGATATCAAACATAGGGAAACTCTTGAAGTGGATCATGTTTTTGCCGCAACTGGTTACTCTTGGGATGCACATGAAAGTTTGCTGGAAGATATTCAGCCATACTTGGAGGAATGTGATAGTTGGTCTGTAAAACGAAATTACCAGGTAAAACTAGACGCTCACAAGGTTGATCCGGGAGCGGGGATTTGGTTACAGGGGTGTAATGAGAAGACTCATGGGGTAAGAACTTTATATCCATTTGTTCACTTTCAGCAAACTTTATTACAAACTGTTTTATTAACCACTATATCAACTAACATCATACAGTTAAGTGACACTCTACTCTCTATCCTCGCAATTCGAGGGGGTGAAATAGTAAATAGCATTTTCGGACCATGAGTTTTATTTGTTTAAACAATAGCATCGCTCGAATATATGAATTCTCTACATGAAAATTAAGAGTTATTTGTTACAATTTAGAAAATTAGATACAATAAGCCCATTTCATAGGAGTTGAGGCAAACTTAGGCCTGTCAGCCAAAAAATTCCGCCAGCTGGTTCCTCTTTTAGCGAAGGTTTGCCTCGCAACTTTCTACCTCTCGGACTTGGATAGAAATATCAGACCAACATTATCTTTTTCGAGGTAAATTAATTCAAAAAGTTATGATAACACATTTATATCATGTCAGAAAGATTGTTATGTAATTGTAACTCTATCTAATGACATTTTGAAAAAGCATTTAAATCTATCGGATTATGGAATTAAAAAATATCCATGAGAAAAACGTGATACACATGCCTCGATGCCATTAAAAAAATTATCGACGCGTTTGAAATACCGCACAAGGGGAATAAGCGTAGCTAATGCAACCGACTTAATAAATATCTCTATATCTACAACCTAATTATTTAGCGTCGTTGCCTTGTCGTTCTACGAGTGCTGTAGCTTCAAAAAATATGCTAATCAAGAGCTAAATGCAAAAACCTTATTAATCTCAAGAACGATTTGTTTAGATAATTTGCTGGCTCTATAACTTGTCTTTTTTTTAATTTTGTTTAATTCATAGTGTATTCAGCTATCTAGCTATGACACACTATTACAACTTGTCTGTTGTCGCTCCAACTAGCGCTTTTCTCTGTAGCAAGTTGTCTCATTGAAATGGTTCAATAGGGTTTTCTCCATATTCATTCCTTGTAAAGTTAAGAGCTTTGACTCCATTGTAGTACGGTATTGGTTTCTTAACAATATAGTAAAAATATATTTTTTGATTATTCTTATATGGGCTCAGACTCGATAAGCTACGACATTTATTTATCACTTCAGAACTCAAACAGGTATTCCCCTCCCATGGAAGAGCTCTCTCTATAAACATAAAATGAGTACCTACTTGGCACTCAGAACCTGCTGTTCTCGCCGCCAGAATCTCAAGGTGAATATTGGGTATTCAAGCTTTCACAATTGCCCAGAAACTTTCCTTGCCTTCAAATAACTATTGTGCTCTGAGCGTTATAGTTTGAACACTGTTCGAGCTTAGGAGCATGCATGTGTATAATACAAAGAATAATTGCGGAGAGATTACTTGGAGAGTGATGGATGAAGCTTGACAAAAGGCCATGACTGGTCAAGGGATAGAAGCATTCTCACCACTTAGTGACTCCCGAGATGTGTGGATGATTGGCATGTATTAGATACAGGAAAAAAGAAAAAAAGCGCAATGTCTAGGTCCAGTGCCGTGTGCCTTGCCTGAATATCCCAATGTCATACACCAAGAGATCAATGTAAACAGCATCTGGACTTGCACCAATTATTGCTGCAACGACCAGAGCCATTTCTCACACCTCAGTCCACAGAAGCAAACGTTGTACGTCCTTTTTAAAAATTTCGATAGGACTACCCGACACCTTCATGTTGATGCCCAACTAAGTCCCAAAGTCGAAAACCCTTGAGATAATTTAGTCCCAGCATTCAAAATAATAATCTCTTCACTTTTTCGTTGCACGTTCTATCTGCCTGTCTTCCCTCAAGTTGTATAGCCCCATTAGAGCTACACCCCCCTATGGGCCAAGACAAACGCTATAAATATCTTGACTTGGTTTCTCCTCGTGCATGCACGTAGCATCGCAATTTTAGAATGGGAGGTAGCCGATGATTGATGAGACAAGTTACCGTTTGAAATTAAAGTAGCTCCTTGATTGTTCGTTGAAGTGAGATAGTTTGTAGCAGGGCTAATTTAGAGGACTCGAGCAAGGATGGTAGAGTCGATGTTGGTGGAAGTCGTTGAGACTAGATGCATGACTATCGAGACGTACATTGACAATCAATCATAGTGTTAACTGACATTAAATTGGACATTGTTAGATACTACACATCATATGCCAGAGGTATACAAGATTGTCTGTGTAGTTGGTTACACTCATATTGATATTCATGCTCTTCTAGTTCCATGTAAATAGATTGAGATCTTATGTCTCCTAACCTTTAATTGCAATATTAATAGAAGCTAATTCCGGAGCCTAACAAATCTTATACTGATTTTATTTAATCTTGTTACATTTTATGTCATCCTTGGCCCATTAATCATCCTCTCTGCTGATTGATACCGAAGCTCTAGTGGAGTACAGTGATGAATAATATTTTACAAGTTGTACGTAAATATGCTTGTTTTCTTTTGATCTCGATCCAGATGCGACGCTTCTTGGCTATCTCAGACATGCGGAGCATACTGGTGTTTATACCGGCACCACCGAAAATTCAAGAAATACTTTTTGCCGGCCTATCCGAATCAATGACCAAGGTAATTAATCCCCTCTTATATCTTCACAGCTCTCAACCAACAGTAACACCCTTCTCGACACTTCTGTAGATCCTTCGCCTACTATTCTCACCTACATGCTTCAGCAGACTTGTACCACACGATTGGAGTTGTACTATAAATTTCAAATTTCGTGGAAGTCTATTTGCCAACTAGTCGAGGACAAGGATCTTGAGATCTAGAAGTATAATCAACGAGGCTAAGATGTAAGAAGTCTTACGCCTAGGTGTTTGATGACTTAAGCGAAGCTGAGGTCTTGTGAGTAAACGAAGAAGAATTGGAGGTCCTAGACCCATTACCTTATGAGTTGATTGCCCGCAAATTGATTTTTGGCCAAGCCTTGACCGGTAGAATCCTTTATTACCGTGTTGATTAGAAACACCACATGTAGTTGGCCGGTGTCAGTTCTCAGTGACAAGCTACTATCATTTGAGAGCTTGTTTTTATATGACTACTGTGGTAGATACCCATCGTACTAAGAGTATCATAGGATTAACATACCTTGTTACATGACGTTAATGTATACATCCCTCGCTATAGATGCTACTCCATTTTGCCCGCATAATTCCCCACATATGACGGCTATCCCAGCACTTGCAACCCTCACACTCTCTGGCTCCTAATCATCAGCCAATCTACTTCTCTCGAGATAGCTCTCCAACATATTCAAGGAGAAAAAGAATAACCACCAACTTAATTCATCTTTGTCTTTGCTTCGATTTGACATTTACTCTGCACTGTCTACACCTATCTCAAACAATTCTCCAAATCTGGTTCTTTAACGATGATAAAGGATAAATAAAGAAAATATAAAAGAAGATATTTCTGATTACACAAAAAATGTCCGCTCCAGTAGAGAAGCTTTCTATACTCAACTACCCCCCAAAAATTCTACATGGGCCAAAATTACTCCACGAACTTATACCCTGGCGAAAATATCCTAATAGCTGTGCGATTGACTTTACCGATGGCGATAGAAGATTCTGCTACACATATGATGACCTCAGCACATGTATTTCATCTCTAGTCCTAAAAATACAGGAAACTTTGCTAGCCTCCAACCACAGAGATGTGCAACACATAGTACCAATTTTAATCCCACAATCTCCTGGGCTTTATATCTCGCAATTGGCCATTCTAAAATCAGGTGGTGCATACTGTCCTATCAACCTTGATGCACCGGAGGAGAGGATCAGGTTTATCGCGCAAGATATTTCTGCAAGCTTAATTATCACTACATCTGCCCTTAAAGGCATGATAACTTGGGACAATAGTCCTCCTATCATCTTGATTGACGAATTTCCACCCATAACACTAGATAATTCTACTTCAATCCAATCTGTATACAGGGTAAAGTCAGATGACCTAGCCTACGTAATTTATACAAGTGGTAGCACTGGCTTTCCAAAAGGGGTCGGAGTGAGCCACTTTGCGGTCTCTCAATCTCTACTTGCTCATGAACAGCATATTCCACCTTTCAAGCGGTTTCTCCAATTTGCTTCGCCTTCTTTCGATGTTTCTGTTTTTGAAATTTTCTTCCCACTGACCAGAGCCTGTACATTAGTTGGCTGTAATCGGAATCAGCTCCTTCACGACCTCCCCGGTAAAATTAATGAGCTTGAAATTGAAGCTGCTGAGCTAACACCAACCATCATAACTTTTTTGCTCCAAAAAAGATCTAACGTTCCAGGCTTAAAGTTCCTCGTTGCAGCTGGAGAGATGCTTACGGCCGCTATTGTCAAAGAATTTGGTGGCTCATCGTTACAAAAAAGTGTACTCTACGGCATGTATGGCCCGACAGAAGCAACAATTCATTGTCTAGCCCACTCCAGTATGACAAAATACACAAAGCCTAATAATATCGGGGTTCCACTAGATACTGTTTCTACTCTAATTGTCGTCCCAGCGTCAAATTTTCAGGATTTAACTTGTCTCGAAATATTACCATTGGGTTGTTGGGGAGAACTAGTAATTACAGGCTCCCAGCTCGCTGAAGGTTATCTTAATTTGGAGGAGCAGACTAAGATGGCATTTGTCACCTTTGAAGGCAGAAGGTATTATAGAACTGGTGACAAAGCTAGACAGCTCGAAGATGGTACTATTGAACTCTATGGACGAATCAGCGAAGGCCAAGTGAAGCTTCGTGGTCAGCGAATTGAACTTGGTGAAGTTGAAAACGCTGTTTATAGATATCCTGGAATCAAAATTGTAACGGCGCTCGTAATTGAGAAATCTCTTATTTTGTTTGCAAAAACAGATGATGATCTTGTAAAAGCAGATGATATCATGAAGACATGCTCTAAATGGCTTCCAAAGTTTATGCTACCTAATGAGATAATTTTAGATATCGATTTTCCTTATTTGTCCTCCGGAAAGGTTGACAAAGAAAGATTAAGAGAGATTTATAAAATGCAGCACCAAGAGATAAAACTTGAAAGTAACAATCCAAAATCCAAAATTTGGAAAATTGTAAAATCTGTTCTTTTTGATACATTTGGAGAATTCCCAGAAAACAAACGTCTCTCTACAATTGGTCTCGACTCTTTAAATACAATTGTAGTAGCCTCCAAACTAAGGGGCCTTGGGCTTCAAATTAGCACTATTTCGGTTCTTTTAGCTGAAGATATAAATGAAATTGTTAGCTTGTGTATTGATAATACCGTACCATCAAATTCGATGTTACTGACTTCTACCGAAAGAAAGGATGCAAAAAGTGAATTAATCTCAACAAACATTACAGATGAAGTCGAATCAATAATTCCTTGCACGCCACTTCAGATAGCAATGATTTTGAAAAGTGTAGCAGACACTAATACATACCAGAACTGGATAGAATTGAGTCTACCTGCGACAGATGACTGTGTTTTTTTTACTAAAGCTCTACATCAGCTTGCCGAATTTAATTCAATATTACGTACGGGATTTGGAGAGTCAGAAGGCCCAAACTGGTTTGTTCAGATTATTCGTCCAAAAATACCAGATTTCTGCATAAAAATCGTGAAAAGTTTCGACTACGAGCTAGAATATGCACAGGAATATTTTTTGAAATACCCAGTTCGATTTCAGATACGGTCCGAAGAATCCTCTTTGAAAGTGCTGATGCACATACATCATGCTCTTTATGATGCCTGGTCTTTAGAATTACTTCTTGATGACCTAGAATCGCTATTGTCTATGAATGTGTTGCTTAAACGACCTAGTTTTGAGAGTGTTGTCGACTCATATCAAAAGCCAGAAATATTTAACTCAAAAGATTCCTCTTCCATGAATTACTGGAAACAACATCTCTTGAAATATGAATCTAGAGGACTACCTAATTTTCAAACCAGGGTATCTAAATCTAGCAGTTTAGCCGCTGTCAAGTTAGAATCCTCGTTTCTAAGCTCAGAAGTTGAAAAAGCTGCCAGAAACCTATCAACAAGTTCACAGTCATTTTTTCAAACAGCTTTGGCCCTAACCCTCGCCTCATATCTTGGATCTTCAGACGTTTGTTTTGGAACTGTATTCTCAGGACGAACGCTTCCCATAGATGGCATTGAGAATATAGTAGGCCCTTGTCTTACAACTTTACCAATAAGGATTGACGTATCAACTTCCAGTAATTTATCTCATATGATTCAAAAATTAAATTCGATCAATAAAAGTCATCTGGAGTATAGTCAAGTATCGCTCCAAAAAATCAAAATCGCCAGCGACTTGGAACCAAGCCGAGGCCTCTTTGACACTATTCTAATTTGGCAACAGACATTTCATGCATATGAGGGTAAAAGAAAAAAGGTTTTATTGGTAGATGCAGTGGATAATCTAGAATTTGATTTGACCCTGGAGATAACTCCTCTTAAAGAAAGAATTGAGATTAAAGCTACATATCGGCAAAGTTTGTTACCTGAGTCACAAGCTAAATTTTTTATTCAGCAGATCGAAAATATTGTTGGGGCTCTTATCTTAGAACCTGAAGCTTCTTCGAAAGCTATCTTTGGCTCACTGAGTCGAAGTCTTCTATCCATTGAAAATGGAAGTCCCGAGGAAAGTTGGACTGATCTTTCAAGAAAAACCCTTTACTCTTCTGTTGAAGATATAGCAGTCACGAATCCTGATAGGTTAGCTGTTAGCTTTGCACATTCTCTTCGTGAAAATAAAATCAACGTTCAGAATTTAACTTATTCAGAACTAAATTCCAAAGCGAATCAGATAGCAAACTGCCTTGTTGAGCTTGGGGTTATTTCTAATATGACTATCTGTGTTTATTTAGACAAGAGTATTGAACTTTATACTGTAATACTTGCTATCACAAAGATAGGAGCTTGTTTCTGTCCCATAATGCCTAATATTTCGACCGAACATCTCAATAATGTTCTGGAAAAGTTCCAAACTATGTCAATAGTAACTAAATCAGATTCAAGATCCTTCTTCGAAACAGACTATCATTCAAAAAAAGTGATTTACATTGATGAACTTCATTTGTCAGACTCACCAGCAGAAAATCTCTCTTTATCGCATCTAGATGATAGTTACGCATATGTTATATCAAACTATCGAAATACTGGAATCACAAAAGAGGTTTTTATCACGCAAAAAAATATTCTGAGTCACTTATTGGCCACTGAGTCTATGAATTATCTGACTAAAAACTCCAGACTGCTACAGTCATTTTTTCTGGACTTTATCATGTCATTATCTGATATTTTCCTGATTTGGAGAATTGGTGGTTGCTTATGCTCAGCTAAAAGTGACATGCTACTCGCAAATTTTGAAGAAATTGCCCATGGTATGCAAGTAACTCATTTAAGCCTTACACCAACCATCGCTAATCTTATTGATCCCAAAAATGTTCCTCATGTCCAGCAATTAACTATAATTGGGGAGGTAGTAAGTCCTAAAATATTAAGCGACTGGACCGATCGAGACCTACGCATTGGTTATGGAAGATTAGCAACGACAAGCATTGTAACTGTCTCATCTTCTATGGCTCAGGAAGACTCAATTGATAATATTGGATACCTTTTGAAGAATACATCTGCTTTTGTGCTTTTACCAGAATCCGAGGGGTTTTTCCCTACTATTCGTGGTGGCGTAGGTGAGCTTTGTTTTGCAGGGTCCCAAATTGGTCACCAATTTAGAAATAAATGTCATGAAGAGTGTAGCTACCTTGAAATTCCAGAATTTGGACGTATCTATCGTACTGGTGATATTGGTAGGCTCCTGCCTGGCGGCTCATTTGTTTATCTTGGCCGAAAGAGAGATCGAATAGAAACTAAAGGTTATAAATTCGAGCTCGGAGAAATTGCAAGTCATCTCCTATGTAAGCATCCAAACATCTCAAACTGCAAATTGGTGGCAATTAAAGATGAAAACAAAATTGATCATAAAGTTATCTGCTTCTGGACCTCTGCAAGTAAAATTTCAACGAAGTTTGAGTATCTTGAAACAGACCAGGACCTAGTTAGACGGCTTTATCAAAGTCTTTGTCCAAAACTTCGAAACATTATGAAACCATCTGAAATAATACAGATATCATCATTTCCAATAAAGACATCTGGAAAAATCGACCAATCCCGTCTCATTCAACTTTTCCATAGTTTACCCAACAAAAACCTCGATTCGATTAATCAGATCAAAGAACCACCCTACAATCACCAGTGGAGTCAACTTGAGGCAAAAATAGCTTCTGCACTTTCAGAAGTCACAGGTAAAGATATTCAAGATATTGGTCCTGATATATCTTTCTACCGGCTAGGGCTGGATTCAATGTCTGCAGTATTTTTCTCGAGAATCCTTCAAAAGAAAAGTGGATACCAAGTACTCATATCAGATATACTTTACTATCCAACAGTGATTGATCTAGCAAAAATAATAATATCGTCAAACGAAAACTCCAAAGTGATTGAACCTTGCAATCTCTCCGCTAAATCTGGCTTTTCTTCTGAATATATTGCAACCATCTTTGAAAGCTACCAAAAAGTAGGTAAGCAAGTCGAGGAAATTTTATCATGTACACCCCTTCAAGAAGCAATGTTATCAGCTACAGAATTTTCTCGTGAAGATATTTATGACAATCATGTGATTTTTGAAGTGAACGGGGATATTGATAAACTTCTATCCTGCTGGGATGAAATGGTTCAAAGACATCAAATCTTACGAACTTGTTTTGAGAAAACTGATTCAGTTCAATATCCATTCGCTCAAGTCGTTTTAAGAAACTATAATCTTCAACCTGACTTTTTGTCTTATCTATCAGAAAAAAAAACCTATACTTCAAAGTTTGAGCCTCTGTATTCTATTAAGATTTCGAGGGATTCAACACCGAAAATTATGGTTTTATCAATGCATCATGCTTTGTACGATCAAGCAGCATTATCAATTTTATATGATGAAATACAGAGTCTTTATCATGGCCAAGCCTTGACACCTGTAACGCCATTTTCTCCTTTCCTGGACTACATCAATACAATTAATCTTGATGCTGCAGATATTTTTTGGAGTAGGGTTTTGAAGAATTGCAAATTCCCTAAATTTTCACATAAAACAGGACATCAGAGGAAAGCTTTGACTACAGAAACTCATCATGTTACCACTAAGTGCTCACTAAATTTTGTCAAAATGAAGTCTATGAAATGTGATACATCTGTTCTCTCTATTTTACTAACTATATGGGCTTGTATCATATCTGAAAGATTGTTAGAGACTGATGTTTGCTTTGGCACCGTATTCGGTGGTCGCAGCATCCAGATTCCAGGGATTGATCGACTTGTTGCACCCTGTTTCAATACAGTGCCCTCTCGCTTGGACAATATGGACAATATTTGCTATCTTCAAGCATTTCATAAACTTAAAGAGCTTATTGCTGAAACAATCCCTTTTCAGTTTTCACCACTGCGCAAGATTCAATCAAAAGTTAGCCCTGATGGTTCTCCTATATTTGACACTCTTTTAATCCTGCAAAATCAACCTCAAAAGCTAGACCCTTCTATATGGTCTATTGTGGATGAGAATCTTTCGATTGGATTTAATCTCGTGTGCGAGATAATTCCTCATAACGCAGATGATAACCTTGAAATTAATTTGCATTATTGCTCATCTACAGTTTCTAACTTAGAAGCTGCAGAAATACTCATATCCTTCGAACAAAAACTAAACGAAGCTTTGGATAATCCACAAAGACCATTAGTTTCATTAGCGGTGAAGGAGAAATTTTCTAAAAAACTCGATCAATTGGAGGAAACATTAACTCAACCTGAAATTGTAAAGATATCACCAGAATTTTGCTCTGATGTCGAAAAATGTCTTTGGAAAATGATAAGCAACTTTACTGATATTCCTGTCAGTAGAATAACTTGTGATACAAGTATATTTAAACTTGGATTGGATAGTATTAGTGCTATCCAAGTTGCTTCTCGTCTGCGAAAACAAGGTTTTGACTTAATGGCTAGCGATATAATAGAAAATCCTACGATTTCACGACTTGCTAGCTTTCTTGAAAATAAAAAGGAGCCAATTCCTGTTAATACGATTCCAACTTTTGAGGACTTTAAATTATTCTACAGGGATATTATCTGCTCTAAATATGACATTTCTTCAGGAGATATTGAGGCAATAAGGCCTTGTACCAAGGCACAGCAAGGAATGATTGCACGAACTCTTCATTCCGGTGGAAAAGAATATATGAATGCCTTTTTCCTTGAGATTCTACCAGAAATCTCATTAACGGAACTGAAGAAAGCTTTCAAGACTGCTTGTCAAATACATGAAATTTTTCGCTCAGGTTTAGCATCAATCAATGACAAAAACTTTCCTTTTGTGATGGTAACGCGAAAAGAAGTGAATCTACCATGGCTCGAATCTGGGTTACGAGACTTTGGTAGTTTAGAAATTGATGAAAGACTTTTTAATGAACCATGGAGTATTCAAGTCAAAAACCAGGACAACAAAATTACTCTAGAACTTACAGCTCATCACGCTTTATTTGATGCACAATCTATCCAGATGTTCTTTTTAGATGTTTCAAAGCTATATAGATCTGTCGAAATAGAGAGTCGACCGTCGATTAACTCGCTTTTAGGTGCTATAATCTCCCAAAACCAGAGTGACCTTGAACAAAAAAACCAGTTTTGGGGAAGAAGCGAGAACAAGATTATTGTAAACCCTTTTCCGAGCCTAACACCTGTTCAAAGTTCCGACAAAAATGTCTATTCTGAGCAGCGAATATCAAAACTTTCGGTGTTAGAGCTAGAGCAAAAATGTAGGATGAATAGTGTGACAATTCAAGCCACAACTCAAGCATCATGGGCTAGATTATTAGCTTTTTATGTTGGTGAATCATCAACAACTTTTGGTATAAGTCTTTCGGGCCGCTCTATCTGTGAAAATGCAGACTCAATTTCTTTTCCTAGCGCTGTCACACTTCCAACCCGTTGTAATGTGATAGGCACAAATAAAGAACTTCTAGCTCGCACTATGCATTTTAATTCTGAGGTACATCGACATCAATTTACTCCACTTACTCTGATACAAAAATGGACAGGTAGTCTCAACAGCAGAATGTTTGATACTTTATTTCTATATCATAATATGAAGTCTCTCAGCGGAAAGAGTGAATTACCTTGGAAAGTCCGACGTGAAACCTCATTTGTTGACTGCGCTGTTTCATTAGAGGTCATATCTCATGCAGATAATAGATTTTCACTCCACTTATCATTTGGAGTGGATTTAATCCCAGTTGAACAGGCTAGAATTATCCTGGAGCAGTATGAAGTTCTTCTTCTTGATACATTGTCAAATCCCGATAACATCTGCGCATCTGCTCCTCAACTCCCAATTAACATCTTATCACTCACCGCCCCAAAGAACCCATTCATATCCTGTCCAGTCACACTGCTACATCAATTTGTAGAAAGAGGAGCACGACTGTATCCCGAGAAAGTAGCCCTAGAGTTTGCGACTAATCTCGACTCAAACAGTATTTTTAGCAAATGTTGGAAATATGAAGAGCTAAATGAATGTTCAAATCAAGTCGCGAATTATTTGCTCGATCACCATATCGGTCCCGGAAATATAGTTGCAACCTGCTTTGACAAATGTGCTGAGGCTTCTTTCGCCTTTATTGGTATTCTGAAAGCTGGATGTGTGTATTTGGCACTAGATCCAACTGCCCCAGTTGATCGGTTGAAATTTATAGTAAAGGACTCCAATGCTAAAATATTGCTCACCAGTGGGAATTACAAGAAAAAACTTGCTGAACTAGTCAATATTGATATTGTTAATTTTGATTGTAGCCTGGCTCTGAGTTACTCCAAAAAATCGCCCAAGCTAGTTAGGACTATCGTGCCAGAAGACATATCTTATTGCCTCTATACAAGTGGGACAACAGGGACCCCTAAAGGCTGCTTAATTACCCATGAAAATGCAGTTCAGTTCATGCTTGCTTTCTCAAAGATATTTGAAGGCCACTGGAATGATGATTCAAAATATCTTCAGTTCGCGTCTTTTCATTTTGACGTGAGTGTCATGGAACAATTTTGGAGCTGGAGCGAAGGACTCTGTGTAGTATCAGCTCCACGTGATTTAATATTGGAAGATATATCTGGTGCTATTCAAAAACTTGGGATCACTCATATTGATCTTACACCCAGCCTCGCCCAACTTTTACACCCGGATGATGTGCCATCTTTGTGCAGAGGAGCTTTTGTCGTTGGCGGAGAGAAACTAAAGCAAGAAATTCTGGACTTATGGGGTAAACATGCGTGTATCTACAATGGTTACGGGCCAACAGAGGCAACTATTGGATGTACCATGTACCCTCGAGTTCCAGAAAATGGTAATATCTCAAATATTGGTCCTGCATATGTCAACGTCGGCTCATTTGTCCTAGCCCCAGGAACAGAAACTTTAGTGCTGAGGGGCGGTATAGGGGAGCTTTGTATTTCTGGAAAGCTTGTCGGAAAGGGTTATCTTAACCTTCCAGATCTGACGGCTGAAAAATTTCCTACTCTAAAAGTCTTTAATGAGAGAGTCTATCGCACTGGTGATCTAGTGAGAATTCTGCACGATGGAAGCTTTAATTTTATCGGACGTGTAGATGATCAAGTCAAACTTCGAGGCCAACGCCTGGAACTTAATGAAATTAACGAGGTAATAAAGCAGATAAAGAGTATTCATGAGGTAGTTACTTCACTTGTCAGGAATATAAATCAAGATAAAGATCAACTTGTCGCTTTTTTTCGAACCGAATCTACTGATTTATCGAACCTTATCCCAACTATCCGGGAAAGATGTAGATTTAAACTTCCAGAATACATGGTTCCAAGTCATTTCATTCCAATTAAAAAGATACCACTCAACTCAAATAATAAGGCTGATTTCAAGCAACTTTGTAATATTTTTAACGAGCTTACTTTTGATGACCTCCAATTATTACATTCTTCGGGAGAAAGGATCGAAGCATGGTCTCACATTGAAAATGAGGTCGTCTCAAAGATAAGTTCAGCAATTGGTTTAAGTATTTGTACATTAACTAGAAGTACAAATATCTTTGAGGCTGGCTTAGATTCGATATCCATCATACAGTTTTGTCAAGCTCTTCAAAACTCTGGACTCAAGAATGCCAAACTCTCCATCGTCAAAAATAACCCATCTCTGCATGATTTAGTCAGAGTTTTGCTCCAGAAAACCCATTCCGACGAAAATGAAAGGAATAAGTTTATAGCCTCATCACAAAGACTTAAAGCATTTTCTCACAAACATATGGTTAATATATGTAATGAGCTAGAAATAGATAACTATTTAATAGAAGCTGTCACATATTGCACACCTTTACAAGAAGGCATGATATATAGGTTTTTGGAAAGCGAGCATGCAATCTACTTCAACAAATTTCAGTTTCAGCTTAACGAAGGAATAGAAGAACACAAACTTCTGATTGCCTTGAATCGTGTTATATCTCATCTAGAAATACTTCGAGTTCGGTTCGTCGCAACCGAAGATGGATTTGCTCAAGTTGTCTTGAAAGATAAAATACTAACCTGGGAGCCAATTCAAAAATACGAGGCCTTGGATAAAATAAGTGCTTTAAAATCCCCATATAGTATGAACTATGACGCAGGTACCTTGAGTCTCTGCATGTTTCATGGGCTGTATGATGGATATAGTTTCAGAATGCTCTTTCACCATATCATTGACGAATACTTTGGTGTCCAAAATATTAACTATGGCCCATCTTTTATTGAATCCCTTCCTTACGGACCATTAGCAACAGTTGTAGGGGCTGAAGAATTCTGGAAATCACATCTAGTAGATTGGTCCCCCTTCTTATTCACGGAGAACCTGAGCTCTAATGATGATATTGTTACTATATCTCGTGTCACTTATCTATCTGGCTTTGAAAATCTTCGTCGAAAGCTTCGCGTTACCGCACAAGCCATTATACAAGCATGCTGGATTACGGTGCTTCAAAAGAGATTCTCGAGAAATCTCACCGTGGGAGTTTTAACATCCGGTCGCTCCATTGATTTTGAGGGCGCAGACACAATTGTTGGACCACTTTTTAATGTTATTCCATACAATTCTAGGCTTAAATCAGGTATTCCGATGACTGAAATTATCTCACGCTGCCATAAGTTCAACATAAGCCTGCAAGACTTTCAGCATACCCCACTTAAAGAAATTCAGAAATGGGCCCCCTTGAGGAATATCAAGTCACTGTTTGAGATAATCTTCAACTTTCAGCGGGCCGATCACATGCAAGACAAGGTTGATGATTTCTGCACAGAAGTTGAAGTTGCTCAGATATCTGATGTAAGTATTTTTGAAAATTTGTTTATCGTATTTAACAGTTTATAGTTCCCCCTTGCCCTAGAGGCAACATTAGGCCTTGATGATAGCAGTCTATCCCTAAGTTTCTCTGCTCAGGGTTCCATGATAGCCAAGGATACTTTAGATGATCTAGCGAATCAGACGGAGCAGCTTGTTGCTTCAACTCTCAGTGAAGAAGGGACAAATTGTGTATTTCACGACGATTCAAAAGAAGATATGTTGAATACTATGACTGTAAAAAGTCTCGCCCAAAAATCTGAGAAACTACCCGACAAAATTGGAGAATTCACTTGGACTAAAGTAACTCTCGCTCTCAAGAGAGAAATAGCTCTACTGGCAAAAGTATCACAAGATGTGGTTGACCAAAACTCAGGAATCTTTGAGTTAGGTCTAGATAGCATTGATACTATAAAATTATCTTCGCGGATGAAGATTCAAGGCGTCAAGATTTCTATACGCGCTATTATAAAACTACAAACTATTTCCCGAATGGCCTCTTACCTCAACAGCAAAACAAATTCTTTGACGTCTAGTGCAGATGGATACCTGAGAGATGATTATCGGGAGTTGAAGTCATGCTTGGAGAGTATGAAAAAGCCTTCCGGAGACTTTGAAGAAATACTACCAGCTACTCCTTTTCAAGAAGGTATAATTAAGGAAATGATGAGCTCGGGCTTTCAGAGATATTTTAATATGAACGGATATAAAATTGGCAGTCTAGTGGACTCAGAGAGGTTGATGGGGGCAATCAGAAAGGTTATTGAGATATCTCCTATCCTCCGAACAACCTTCCTCGAAATTGATGACCCAGGCGTACCTATCCGCTTCGCGCTAGCTATTCAAAAGATGCATGGACATGAAATTGAATCTGAGATCCTTCCTCCAAGTGATACAGGATCAATTGACGACTACTTAAACCGCTTCAAAGAGGAAACTATAATTAGAGCGATTCAAAATTTCAAGCTGTTCCATGTGCGTCTTGTGATATTAGGCCCTGAGAGATTTCTAGCGATTGCAATATCTCATGCTCTGTATGACGGAACGTCACTAAATATACTACACGAAGATATAAAGAGGGCCTATGATGGGCTACCTATTGATAGGCCAGATTTCAGACCGTATTTAGAGCAGAGTTTTCTATCAAGAACAAAAGATGCTGAGAAATTTTGGAGAACCATGCTTTCTAACCTACCGATCTCAGTACTGTCGAAGAAAAATAACTCAGCGTTCGCCGACTCCGATGCTAAATTTATGAGCCAGAGGCCGTCTCGTATACCTCTGTCAAAAATAGAAGCCGCGTGTAGATCATCAAGAATTACCCTACAAACACTCGGACAAACATGCTGGGCATTGGTTATTTCGCACTTAACGCAAAAATTAGACGTAGTTTTTGGCTCTATCCTTTCATGTCGCGACTCCGAAGAAGCTACGAGAGTTATGTTCCCTTTGATGAATACAGTCGCTGTACGGTCAGTGATTCACGGAAGCTTGAATGATATGTTGACATATATGCAAGAAATGAACAACAAGATCCGAAAGTATCAGCATTTCCCTCTGGGAAGGGCACAGAATTATGCTTTAGGTTCGCGAGGTGGTAAATCTCGAGAAAATCAAGCTTTTTTTGAGACCATTTTTATCTATCAAGGACGGATCGATGCTGTTGATCAAAATCCACTATATGAGTCGATTTATCAAGTATCCAATGTCGAATTCCTCATCTGCGCCGAAATGCGTATTGAAAGTGATAACAATATATGGTGGGCAATAACTTGTAAAGAAGCTGCTCACAATCAAGCTGAGACTGAAATGCTATTAGAAGCACTTGATGAAACTCTAGAGCGACTGATATCATCAAGAAATCTTCAATCAACTGTAATTGATGGAGATTCTGTATCTGTATGCGGTCTGCCGAGCTTCAAGCTCAAAAACGTACAACCAATGAGCCATCATGAAGAAAACTCTGCTCTTTTAGGGGATGAGAGCTGGTCTAGCACTGAAATGAGTATCCGAACCGCGCTCTCTATTATCGCACGCGTACCCGAGAAAAACATTCGCAAACACATGACTATATTCCATCTTGGTCTGGATTCTATTCTAGTACTGAAACTCCCAGCTTTATTGAAAACTTTTGGTATCCAACTAAAGATTTCAAGCATCATGAGAGATCAAACAATAGCCGCAATGGCTATTTCTGCAAAGAGTCTAAACTTAGCCACGCATAAATTTCAAGATGAAGATAGTATTTTGGCTGCCATAAAGTTTTCGGACGAGTTTCCCATAGCACGAGCTAATCTTGAGGAAGAAATTGGTAATATTCAGTACATTATTCCCGCGACCGCTGGGCAGTGTTATATTATAAGGCAATGGCAAGTGTCGGGAGGTGCCTTATTTGACAAAATATTGTCGTTCGCTGTTCCTCAACCACTCATCCAAGAATCTCTTGCCTCTTCCTGGCGTAAGCTTCTCGCAAGACATGATATCCTTCGAACGGGGCTCGTGGAAGACGATGGTAAAATTTTCCAGGTAATTTTTCGGAACCCGTCAAACCCGATAGTTTACACGAGTGAGGAAGTGAATAGAAATCTCACATGTTCTCGGGATCTTCGATTTCCACCGCTGGATTTGTGTGTAGAAATGCCGCCGGGTAAGGAAGTAAAGCTACACCTCAGAATACACCATGTCATTTATGATGGGGTGAGTTTACCACTTCTACTCGAGGAGCTGAAACGGCTTTACCACGGTGAAGAACTTGTCGCAATGTCGTGCTTAGGATTCAAATCGTTTGTGATACAGTCTTTTGCAGCTTCACAGTCACTTGACCTACGAGAAAAGTGGCAATCATATCTTCCAGGTAAGACATTTGATCTGGAGCCGGCCACAAGTGGCGAAGAAAATTGTCGCACCGAAGTCTACATCCCTAGCACCGAGATACAGGATATGAAGCTACGAGCCCAAGAAATCGGATCGAGCGTGGATGCACTATTTCTTGCAGCCCTTGCCAAACTCCAAGCGCAGAGAATTCAGCGTACATCTCCAACTGAGCCAGTAAGAGCAGTAATTTTGGGACTCTATTTGGCAAATCGCGCACCATTTGGAGAAGATCTCTCGCAACTTGCAGCACCAACACTCAATGTACTACCACTCTGTATCCACGGACCTCTTGAAAAGAGCCTGGAATTACTCGCCCTCGAGATTCAAGTAGATATTCAACGGATCAGTAGTTCTGATATGGTCTTTGCATCACTCTCTCAAATCTATGAGTGGACCAGGGTCCGTGTGGATATATTTATCAATATCCTCAAGCCTTCAATAGGCCTCATATTTGAGTCGGGAGGACTGCTCGCTTCGCCGCTTCCATCTGTAAAATTTGGGAGAGATAGGCCTCAGGGCTCAAATAGTCTTGTCCAGATTTACGAGCGATCTTTGATGCCCAGATCATTGCCCAAAAAAGAAACCGAAGCTTACTTGGTAAGATAGCCCATAGTATCTAGCCCCAACCAAGCTTATGTGATTAACTTCTTGTAGCCCCCCATAGATATTGAGCTCCGATATCACGATGGTACCGTTGACATGGGAATCTTTGCTTGTCAAAATTTACTCACGCCCGACGAGGCAAAGAGCTTCGCCACGCAGTTCCTCGACTTCTGGCGATTGTGAAAGGGATATTGTTCTGCATTCTTTTGTAGCAACTATATTCTGTTCTGGAGATGCCGTTGCTGGTTATTCTTCGTTTATCATCGGTTTGGTGGCTATCGGTTGATCTTTTTGAAACTATCAGCTATTTTTGGCTGGCTAGCTTTAACACATGACCAATATCTCATTCACATGTAAATTATGTCTCTAGAATGAAGAGTCACTCATATTCTGCAACTTATTCGCAAAAACGGCTATGAAGTGTGATTACCTGCAGACCGAAATCGACCAAGCTGACTTTCGTTTTCTTAATCGAAATATGGTCAATATTATTGAAATTGAACCTGCAGTGAGTGTATGCGTGTAAAAAATAGTGCTAAGTAAGTAGTGACTCCTGCGCTTCTGCGGGAGCTTGAGCTTGAGTGCGAATAGTACTGGTCTACATCAGGTTAACTACGATTAAGTAAGAGAACTTTATCCCGCCTTGAACCTCACCAACGCCTTGAATCGTGGACAGTCTGACCGCCCGGAGAGCTTGAAGGGTACTTCAAGCATTAGTCACCTTCCTCATATTTAGTTTTCCCCTTCCTTTTAGCTTCGTCTCATCCCTAGGTCGTTTGTAATACGGAGGCGCTGACTAGGATTTCCTTCTGTTTGTAATTCACGTCAGTAAATCTCCGATTATTTGTTTCAGTGAAATAGATAGGTTATATCAGTTGTGTTAAGTATCGGAAACGGTGGAAAGGCGAGAAGGTAGACGAAATTGACGGGATACGAAGCCAACTTTAGCAACACCGGTAAGAGAAAGTTGATGTTATCAGTTCCCGAAATGAGGTCGGAATTTCCAAAGTATTCATAAATCACGTAGTCTAGGCTGAGGACAAAGGGATGGAATGAAGCAGGAGGAATTTGGTATTTATACATGGATATGAGATAGAGACAAGATCTTCTTTTCTTAAAGCTCTGGCGAAGTCTATCAGAATGATAGAAGTCTTCCCTCGTCTCGCATCCCTTGTAACGTCATCTTGCTCAATCTGCCTATTTTTCTGTCTTTGAACATTGGAAACACCTAAACCCTTGGCCATAACTCATTTCTGCCGTACCCCGGGGGACTATTCTCAACATCTGTCAGTGGTGTCCCCTACGAACCTCCAGCTCTCACTGTAGAGTCTGCAGAGCCGAGATTGAGTAACAAAGTCCTCACTTCCATGAGGATTCCCAATCGCTTTCGCGGTCTGTATCGTCTTCATCTCTCTACACATTCCCCTATCACCATTATCATGAAGCTAACCACCATTAGGTTAGATGGCAGGGCCGAAGCCCTACTCATCACCAACCCTTGATCATGGAGGTGATGCCATCCGATGAGTTTCCGGAGCGTACCCAGCACCCGATACGGAGATGGTAGATTGGATCAAGTCGACCTCAACTGTTACAAAGAAGGGAGATATAGATGAATATGCGCACCTCATATGATCCTGGGATCTAGGCCTCACCTGGCTGGGGCTGCAGGTTTCTTGAGACCTTTTCCTGCGCACGCAGTTTCCATTGCTACCATTTTTTATTGAATAGAAGTTTCCATGGAATAGGTGGCTGAATTCCACGGGTAAACACTGAGCTGAATGGCTATTCATTACGGGCAATATATCAGTGATCTTTCAAGAAACATGAGAGGCAAGGGGCACTGTATAAGGTGTGGCCTGGGTCAGAGAGGAGCCCAATGTGCTAGATAGTTATAGACCCAAGTAGTACAATAAACACACCTCTCTCTCTCTACCGCACTCCTAACCATCGGGAAGGAATATGCCTGTAGGAGCTGATTACCAAGACGTGTAGAAATTAACAGTAGTTTGGGAATTACGATAAGTATTGCTATACTCTTACCATTTATAACTTTAGAGGCTTTGATGGATCAATGAGAAAGTGGCAAAAATCTATTATTAGAGCCAAATTATTACGTCCTGTTGGGTTCAACACTGAGTTCACTTTCTGGATATTACTCACTGGGTAGGTCTCATTCTAGTCGAGTTCCCCACCTGAAACTAAGTTAGATAGAACATGTTACCGGACTTGTTTACATCTCAGTCACTGGTGAAGATTAAGATATGTGTTATAATACCAGCTATCGCATTAGAGCGGATTGAAATTATAGATGATCCAACAGCGGATACAGGTTAACAGGATACACGCATACTGCTGGTTTCCGCCTTAACATGGTCTAACTGACGACACAACTTCAAGCAAGATATTGATTCCTTGGTCTTTGTTGAAAACTCTGTTATGTATTTGGGCTAAATTTTATACCTATTTGGCGGAGGTGTAGACGTGTTTGAGGCTGGTTTCTGGCCATATCTTGACAGCACGTGGCATTTTCAAGTAGTTAAATTTTTTCTTGCATCTTTTACAGACTTTTAAGATTTTGAATCATTAGAGAACTTCAGTAAATGATGTGATGATTGTGGGGATATCCACGAGATTAGTCAAGCTGAAATATCCCTTAAGCAGGAGCTCAGACGGTGAAGGGTGTCAGTGAGTGTAAAGGGTGTTTGAGAGTAACAGACAGACTAAAGTCTGTCTGCAACATGTAATTGGAATACAGGTGGCTAGGATCGATGAGATGGTTAGCCGTGAATGTTCTGCAGATTTAGTTTTCGATCAAACAAGCTGGCAATACTGCTGATTGTGATGTCGCCTAGAATTCTCATATTTACACTTTGTCATGACTAAACCTCGGCTCTTGGAGAATATTTCTCTCCTGGGTCAGTAGACGGCTGAATGGAACGGTATTCACAATTTTCCAAAGAGTTAGATTCCTATTCTTTCTTTTGTCATTGTAATCTTATCTTTATTAATACAGATTTCTAGCGTCGGGGCTGAAATAGGATTCGACCAAAGGCTTCCATTCTCTCAAATGTATTCTGAGAAAATCCTGTTGCCAACTTATCATCTGTGATTAATGTTTCTTAAACACCGTCGAGCCGGCTCTCGAGGCCGATTTCGTTGGTATGTTTGGTGTGGTATTGCTCATGAAGGAGAATCGTGATAATATATCCTTGTAGGCGGAGGCCGGCAGGGGCCATGCATGAAAGAAAGACAAAGACGTTACGACCGCACAAGGAGACACGCAATTGTGTGATATTCACGGATTTTCATCTAGATTGTGAAAATTAGTCGTCGTACCTGGCCCCAAGCAAACACCTGTAAAATTACAAAACTCTAGTTTGAGATTCTAAACAGTGTAGTGGTATCCAAGTAACTTGTTAGCCCTACTTTCGATTATGGGTAGGTAGAAGCTGAGCACTAGAAACAATGTTGACAATTTTACAGCCAATTACGGATATAGCGGTGGCAATTACACCACGACAGCTTACGGTGCCCAAGGAGCAGCGGATGGCGGAGGCTTTCTGGGAGGCTCACAGGCTGGCAGTCAAGCTAGTCCAGGAGGCAGCAAAGTATGTTACCTCGACAGCTCTGGGTCTCGCGTTCTGATTAGAGAAGACGTATGGGAAAGATACTCTAAGACCCGTAACCGTTAAACAAATTATCGAAGCGTATGTCGTCCTTTTATCAATTGTCCGTTAACTAACAATTCAATGAAAGCCAGCAACCCCACCCAGACAGTGACTTCAAAGTAGACGGTATCGAAGTGACACAAGTAATTTAATCAAGAAGCCCCTATAAAATACACGACTCACCTCTATTAGATTACATTCGTCGGCCAGATTCAAGCAGTTTCCTCCCAAGCAACGAACACTACTTTCAAGGTAGATGATGGTACCGGATTGATAGAAGTGAAACAATGGATCGATGGCGACGCAGATCCGGAAACGCGTGCTCCTCTTCCAAAAGAAAACGAATATATTCGTGTCTGGGGCCGTCTGAAAGCGTTTAATAACAAACGTCACGTTGGCGCACATATGGTTCGGCCTATCAGTGACTTTAACGAAGTCAGCTATCATTTTCTGGAAGCAACAGCCGTACATTTATACTTCACGCGTGGACCTCCTCAGTCCATCCAGGGGATTAAGAATGAAGAGGACGCTGGTATGTTCGTGGATAGTACCGGGAGCACTCGAGTCGCGAATGATATATCTGGATCTGCACGCGGCAAAAAATTGGCTGCAAATACATCCACGTCTGCGAGAAAGGTATACAACTTTCTACTATCAAACATAGAGAATGAAGGGGTTCATGTCACTATTATTGCACAAAAACTTGGAATGCAGTCGAGTGATGTATATAAGGCGGGAGATGAACTACTTGGGTCAGGCGCTATTTACACCACGGTAGATGATGAAACATGGGCTATTCTGGAATACTAGAATCATGAGAAATAAAAATCCTTTACCAAATGGTTCCGCGAGGCCCGACCCCTTGCATACAGATATTTATTTGCTCACACTTGAGAGACCCTGAGCTAGTCTAACCCCCTCTCGCAACAGATTGCGATTGAACCTCAGAAAAGCAGTCGCATTTTTGACTTTCCCATACCATTCAACTAAATAAAGATAACTATCGACAATACGGGTGCAACGCTGCAGCAGATTTACAATAAACTCACGGATAAACGTGAGAACAAGACGATAACTCTGTTGTTATCTGCATGAGATGGTCAATTAATTGAGGTCAGGTATCCAGCACGAGTCATAGCCGCAAACTCTCATGGAGAAATTTTACCGGCAAGATTACAGCAGGATTTGCAGTAAGTTTTTGGTAACGAGAGACTAGCTTGGAGATAAGGCTTCGAGAGAAAGATTGTCAATTTATATCATGGCCTCGGCAGCGTATCCATCATTTCAAGGCTATGATCACTCTATTATCTACACTAGGTCTTACTGAAGCATTATCGTTCCTTGCCTTTATTCTGACGCCATTCTGGTGCTAGGCCTCTGTGCGCCTCTTAGGTTGGTTAATCTTGCATTCGTGTTGGACGAGTTGGGAGGTACAATCTACCCAATCACAGCATTTGTGTTCCAGATATACTAATAGCCATGAGTTCTGAGGGTTCAATTTCTGTGATTTCGAGCTTACCGCATTTAATTGACTGAAGCTCCTGTCTAATACTGTACGCTGAACGTGAGAACCTAGTGCTCTGGATGATATATGATGAAGAATATTCGTATCTAATGGAGATAATAATTTTCTTATGTGCAAGATTAGGGCGTCTGCGTTGAATTGTACCCAGCACGGCTGAGACTCGAACCAAACGCTATCCCCATAGACCACATATCACAACACCAATCGCTTAGTTCTTGATTCATTCGACTTTTGTCAGCTAGCTATCATATGTTATCAATGTCTTATCTACAACTAGAATGACGCCCTAAAATTCCGAGGCCCTCATACTTTGAATATCGCCCGCAGACAATTCTGTGTGGTATGTGTACCTATACTTCGAAGTCAAACATTGTTTTTTACTACCAACCAGATGGAGATCTAGCCAGTTTGGTATCCCTCGCATAGTATATCACTGTCATGAGCAGCCTCACGAAGCGAACAATCGCCTATCTCAACGGAGTTGAGGGTCATAGCTACTTAGAATCTGCTCATTATACCAGCCCTGATGATCTACCGCTACACCATCTGGCCGTAACCACATTTAAAGAGCCGCTTGCGCTCTCCAATGTAAAACCCCCTTCCCATTTATCGAAATTTAACATCCTTCAATAAAACCTGACAAGGGCCCAAAGCAGTCTAGCGATTCAAATACGAAGTGAGAACATGGGGCTCAACTCGTATTTATACAGAAGAAAAGTACCCGGAGTCTACAGTCCAAGCTGTCTATGTAGCTACCAATCGCAGAACCCTAAGCACATGATAATGTCCTGCCCAAGATGGTCAAATAGAAGAGGAGAGATCTGGAGACAAGCGAAAGATCGGTCCTACGAAGATATGCTAAGCAATCCTGGAGATATCAAAAGGATAACACAGTGGATCCTAAATCATGGTTGGATAGAGCAATTCCAGATGACAAAGGCGGTCGAAATGCTGCTGAGGGAAAGGAACAGGTCATGCCTTTCTTGAGGTCGATAAAGCTGATGTGATTGGGTTATATGGAGGGCACTACAGTATAACTGCGCTTCCTAAAGGATACTTTATAAAGATCATAGAAATTAAGCAGGAAGGTTTGGAGGGTTTTCACCAAAAGGTTTCCTCCAATGTAAATTAGAAAGTATGTTAGACACCTGCTGTCACGGAATGTGGTCGTGATCTAATCGATCGAACGAAATATACGAAATTTATTCTGATTTCCTAAAGTAATGATAACGCATGAATAACTACAATGCGGAATAAGAGCATATGGAAAGGAAAGATATCTTTACAGGGGGTATGACTAAGCGGTCCCTAAGGCCATCATTATACATGGGCCGCACACAGTGAACGGCAGGAGTTTGTGCACTAGATCCTGTAACACCTGCATGGGCCCATAGGGCGCCAAATCAGGATAATGAATTCAAATTCAAACATCCTTCAATATTATTACCATTCATAGTGTCATCTTGTCTATCTTCCCTAATTTCTCTCTTGTCCATCTCAAAGGATTTCCTCCTTTATTTACACCTGCGATATCTGCCCTCCTAAAGATGCTCAAATTGTCCTTTTCGTGTATTTGGTGGCCTTCTGATGCCAGAGACTGAGTCGACAAAAGACATGGTCATTGGAGTAAGGATTTAATATGTTCCACTTGTAGGCTTTACAAGGCATTATTAGGAGTCGATCTTGTTGAATGAAAATAAAAGGTGGTAGGTAGCCTTAAATCATAGTCTCATGGGCCAGCTTATTCGACGGAACTTTGATCTGGAAGAATTTGATACTTCAAGGTTCATAGAATACGCTACTGATGAGTATTCAGTTGTTGCCCTCTTGATTTGTACAATATTGGGAAATGGAACTTTCATGTTTGAATTCCAAAGTTTACACCCAATTTCTCGATAGATACAAAAGGAGATCGCTTATTGGTAAGCTTGATTTTTCCTTTCTCTCGTGACTCCAATCTAGCAAAACGTCATCACAGGCCTCATCTCCATAAGAAACTATTAAGATAATAATCAAAATTATGACAAGTCGTATCTTGAACTTAGGATATCTTATCTAATGACAGGTTTGCTGTAAAATCACAGCAAATTCTGACTTTCAATGACTCCACTAGGCCCATCAAAATTTCCAGCTCTTTCGGCTTGGAGAATCTGCAGTCTGGTTGGGCACCGGCACACATCGTACTGAGCTGAATTTGATCACGCGCATCTTTTAGGAATAGGGCTAGCACTAATGAGGACTAGATTCTATCTGTACCCATAGCTGGCGTTCGCGATAGATGCTGGGGTCCTGCGACCTTCCTAATAAATTACAGGTCGTGATGGACGAAATTGATAAGATCACGCTACTCGCTACCTTGAAGACTTGAGTTCACGACATTCAGAGCTGTGATAAGGTCATCGTATTATGTGCGTAATTAATACAAAAATAGTTCTTTTATCGGGCCGAGTACGTAGTCAACTACTTGTATCCATCACATGCCCATGAGAAAGTGAAAATTCTAAAACTATTCGAACAAAGTTTAACTTGGTTGGAACTAATTTTAGAGCTTTACTTGCTAGCCCAGCATAGCCACTGAGAGTTGCATTATTTTTTTGTTAGTTTACAAGCTGGTAGGCCAATAGCTTCAAAGTTCATGAGGGTTGGGCAAGAGAAGGGATAGCCTGTATCGAATTAATAGGTTTATACTTACCTTTATATTTCAGGACAAGTCCAGATATCCGGTATATCCTTCTTATCCGCCACAAAACGCCAAGTCCTGCGTAGACGCGGCCACTATATCACCACGTCCAGGGTAATGGCTCATCTCCAGATCTCCCTTCCATTCCAAATTTTACTGTAATACTGATCAGGTGTTTTTTCATGACGTGATTCAACGTAGTTGTTCTACTGTTATCCTTTCGTTATCACATTCCATACACTTCGGTAGGAACCAACTCCTTTCAATCCAACCATTATTTCCACCAATTAGTTCGCGATAGACAGGATGATTGGAAGTTCCCTCATCTCATTAAAATTCGATTGTCTTTTTAGGTCTCGAGATAAAGCCAGCCTAGCTTCAGCCATCGTCAAGGACTCTAGTACTCATATCAACACGATGTAAAGCATGTATCAGGGAATAACGAATTACTGAAATCGAGTCAGCCAAGCTATAGTTAGCTCATTATCAGGAAATGGACCAGGAAGAGTACCTAGCGCAGAATATAACGTGACAAGAGTAACAGACCATTCGAAGCCGGACGGTATAACGTTGTCATTCTATCTCACAGAGAAGTATATTTGTATTTTGAGAATTCCATTAAAAATTCGAATCTTGTTAGGGATTGTGGCTAAGACAACCCTATTATGAAGAGTGAACGTATGAACGGTACAATTTCTGTGCGCATGAAATTTCCACACACATCTTACCGGCGGGCAATGCATAAGATTTTCGCTCATTTTCATAGGTACCCGAGCAGCGGCGACATGGAACTAATTCGTCTAATGACTCACATAACAGTTCGTTGACAGCTCTGCTTTCAACGTTTATCCTGCATCATAGCAAGTTGACAGCTTAGCCTGATTGTGGCCGAGCGTGCCGGATTAGTCATTATGATATCATAGACATGGGCCACTCTAGGGGTCCCCTGACCTAAAATCACGACGTATAGGAGTCTAGTGGCGGGGTTATTCGTCGGCGAAGCTCCAATTAAATAAGTGCATACGCAAAAATGACTGTAGGTGACGTATATGGGGGCAAGTATTTAGGTTGTGCCATATCCCCTCTTGTGCGCTGACAACCATCCTGACATCAATCCACTTCAAACCTGCATCTCAACCCAACTGAAAATCTCAGTCATCATGTCTAACGCCGATTATTATGGTGGAGCCCAACAAGATGGCTACCAACAGCAAGGCCACAATAACCAATACAATCAAACACCCCCGCAAAATTCAAACTACTCTACTGATCAGCAACATCATGGAAATTCAGGCTACCAAAATACTCAATCACAATATGGCCACGAACAGCGAGGCAACCAACCAGACTATAACCAGCCACAAGGCTATGGAAACCATCATCAACAAGATGGCTCATATCAACATGAGAAACATGGGCAAAACTCCTACAATGCCCCACCATACTCGGGATCAACGGGTCAACAAGGTGGTCAAACAGATGAGAGAGGCCTGGGTGCAACTCTTGTTGGAGGGGCTGGTGGCGGACTTCTTGCGCACAAGGCAGGTGGCGGAATTGCAGCCTCTTTGCTAGGATCAGTCGCAGGAGCTATTGGCGCGAACTTGATTGAGAACAAGTTTGAAGGAAAACACGGCAAACACAAGAAAGATAAGAAAGATAAGAAACACAAGAAGGATAAGCATCATAAGAGGAGCGGATCAAAGGGATCGTCATCGTCATCTGATAGTGATTGAGATTTCGAACGTAAATCTACTAGCAGGCAACACACTCTATTACTCGGCGTTGATAACAGGAAAGTTGCTCCATTAGGTTATAGTTTGGGTTTCTGTTGTGGGCAACGAGTGTAAGAAAATATGATTAATGCGGAATGAGTAACTTCTCAACGAAGACTTAAAAACGAAGCTCGAAATACAATTAAGTCTACACGGTCACTGAAGAAGTGTTAGAATAAATACACGGCTACAAAAAATGGTAATTTTTAGACTAATTCTGGTGAACATCTACTCCGAGACTGTCTCTTGTGATACGGGGCATGTGATTATTTTTCAGATTTAATTGTAGCTATTCCCAAAAGCTCTACTTATTTCATCTTCGTGAGAGGCACAATATTACATTCTCAGCCTCACAAAGCTCGTTCGATAAAATTGGATATTTTGTAGTTATTAAACGGGTGCGCGTAGATGCTAAACGTCGACATGCGATCATAATCTTTCATTTGTATCAAATAAGTCTGTGTAGCTACCTAGCTAGGGCACATGATCAATACTCTATGTAAAAATTAGACTCCAATTTTAAAGTCACTAATACTCTGGATCCCACTCGCTATAGCTCAATGAAGTGTGTACGTTTGAACAGAACAATCGAACCCCGTCTACTGGTATTTACTTAAGGTGAATTCCAAGACTTCTTATCACCAACGTAAACATTCAAAATCATGTGCATGAGCACTGCGAGAAATAGGGGGACTATTCTCAAAACCTATCAGTGGTGTCCCCTACGAACCTCCAGCTCTCACTGTAGAGTCTACAGAGCCGAGATTGAGTAACAAAGTCCTCACTTCCATAAGGATTCCCAATCGCTTTCGCGGTCTGTATCGTCTTCATCTCTCTACACATTCCCCTATCACCATTATCATGAAGCTAACCACCATTAGGTTAGATGGCAGGGCCGAAGCCCTACTCATCACCAACCCTTGATCATGGAGGTGATGCCATCCGATGAGTTTCCGGAGCGTACCCAGCACCCGATACGGAGATGGTAGATTGGATCAAGTCGACCTCAACTGTTACAAGGAAGGGGGATATAGATGAATATGCGCACCTCATATGATCCTGGGATCTAGGCCTCACCTGGCTGGGGCTGCAGGTTTCTTGAGACCTTTTCCTGCGCACGCAGTTTCCATTGCTACCATTTTTTATTGAATAGAAGTTTCCATGGAATAGGTGGCTGAATTCCACGGGTAGAATAGAATAGAATATAATTTTATTTATGTCCCTAATGAGTCTAAGACTATGATGGACAGCCAAAACTATCTAAATAGCTTTAAAGTTAATAGTAAATCTGTATATTATTGTGCTTAATTTTTGCCAATAGATGATCAGGGTCATACCCTAAATTCCACGGGTAAACACCGAGCTTAATGGCTATTCATCACGAGGGGTATATCAATGATGTTTAAAGTAAAAAAAGAGGCAAGGAGCACTGTACAAGGTGTGGCCTGGGTCAGAAAGGAGCCCAATGTGCTAGATAATCTATAACTCAAATAGTACAATAAACAAACTCACTCACTGTGACGGGAACCCCGAGTTGGTGATGATAATGTCGATTTAATAAACTGTATAAAGAAAAAAGAGAAATCTAGCTACAACTAACGGGTATTTATAATATTCAGCCTCTCAGTGATTGTCTTGACTGATTTCTTCACCCTAGGCCGAATACTTGCCACCCAGCCACATATTATCAAGAATCACTACGCTGTGACACTGATCTGGCCCCTTGGCTGGTAGTGCCGTATCTTCCAGTTTCCTCTATCATTTCCTTACAGTCTTACAACATGAATCTTCAACAATACGCTTAGGTATCCACATAAGCTCAGACAACGGCCAAACCGTGACACTCACTCATTATTCATTCATTCATTTCATCAAACTCTGGTGAGCGTTATCCAATTTTGCCTGCTATCTCTAGCTTATTCAACATTCCACGTATGTTCCTTTGCTAGTTACAATAAATTCACCATGGCCCTGTTACGGCTAATCCTCTGTATATTAGTTTGGATAAGTGTTGTAGCCACTCCTGGTTCAAAGGCAATAAGTGACTTGATGAATCCACATGGCCTTCTACATACACGGTTATTCGAGATTCCTATTATGAAGAGCAGAGATTGAACATATTTCCGCGGTGACCTTTGTGAGCCTAGGAATGAAACATTCTTCTAGCCAAGTTGAGTCAAATTTCGCAATACCAAAGTGGTTGGCCCATGAGGCAATGGTACAGAACTGAGGACCATATTAATCTATCCCTTCCGACGAGATCAGTTCCAACAAAAACCTCATCTAGTTTTCAAGTACGACCTAATACATACTCATTCCAACCACCACACCTCTCGGCAAATTTTTCTGATCTCAGGTAACCACCAAATACACGCCTATGCCGGTATTTATTTCCGATCGAGGAAACGAAGCGTCGCGCATAAAATTTGTGGGCAGTTTTGTGAGATGGAAGTCAGGGAAATGATGACATATTTTCAAGACGATGTAGACGATAGATTCAGCGCCGAGAGGAAGCGGTTTTATCAATCTTGGATCGATTTTTACAAATTAAAGAGCATTGTGCACTACTAGAATTTGGCTCCAAGAGTGCAAGGGGCGGGTAAATATGTTACGCCCATATGGTGCAGTGATATACATTCAGGATGTTATCCTCGAAGTCTAGGTGATTTTTGATACCTACTCCACTTGGGATAGACGATCGCATATAAGAATCCAGCAAAATTTGACATTATTTTTATGATATTAAAGTCCTAAGCTAAAGCTCTAGGTCCACTGTAGGTATAAGACTGGTGGAGCCGGTGGGGATCAATGTTTACGGGCCCGACTCATTTCAACCGCTGGACTCGCTACAGAAATAGTAGGAAGCAAATTACGACGCAGACACCACCTACTCCAACTCCGGAGGACGAAGGCTGAACACCTATCAGTGGTGTCCACTACGAACTTGGGAGTGAAATATTCTCCCAGTGCCGAGTTTCAGTCACGACAAAGGGTGAATTTGAGAGTTTTCGTCGAGTTGGCGATCGGGAGGAGCGGTGTTGGCTCATTTTTGGTCGAAAATCCGACTTGCAAAGATTTCATGACTGCACAACTCAACGAAATCAACCATCTACACCCCAAATACGAACCGCAGATCGGCTATAACCTGTCTGATTTTCCTATCACAACAACCGACTCCTTCATGATCTTATTTTTTTCTCTGGAAAATAATTCCTAGTTAAAATAATGTCGGAATACTTAGGTGGTAATTTATATCACAAGCTTGATGTAGCAGTAATAATTATTGTACGTCTAAAAAATGATCTCTCCCCCTGTCTTCCTAGAAGGAAACATCTATAAACCGTAAACCCCCCTGTCTCCTAACGCCATTCCCAAACGGATACCTCATTACTCATCAACACAATTAGTCATTAGTTCAAAGGAAATACATATTGATCATTGGATCGTTAAGTCATTAAACAAATAATCTTGCGGCCCTCTCCAAAATCATCTCATCACCTACCGAAGCGATCCCATACCTTCAAAAGTCATATCGTAAACAATGAAGCATGAGGATGTCCGACCCTCCGCAATTGCCAGTCGCTGTGAAGGTACGGTCAACATACCGGCCTTAAATGCGTCCTCACCTCGCCTAAGGGCACCAACAACTCAACCTGATACGAATCGCCACCGACGACATACGTACGACATTTCGCCGGCACACCAACCAGAGCGTTCGACAAAGGCTGGGATACCGGTGCCTCGGTCTTGAGCTCTCAGTCACATTTTCGACCTCCACGGCTAGGGGTACGGCAGCGACGGGGCAAGGCCGGATGGGTGGACATTCAACAAACTTTCTAGGGTGACGATATCGGCTGAAGGACAGAGGGATACTGTATGAAGGAACCAAAAGGTAACACAAACTGAGGAGGCCTTGGTGGGCGACTGGATGAGGCCTCCAGTGAAGAAAACGACCCCTGAATGAGATGAGGAGATGATGAGATGAGCCTAAGCTGGGAATGAATGGAAGGGAAAAGTTACAGATGGCGAAGGTGTCAAGGGCTCGGGCGCGTGGTGGCCGAGGCTGAGGAGGATTTTGCGCTTCGGCGCGTCAAAAAGGGGGTTCTCTGGACGGTTGGACTTGACATGATTCAACACATGGGTGAAGTCTGAGGTGGTCCTATCTCTTTTTTTTTTTGATTCACAGTGTATTCAGCTATCTAGCTATGTCACAACTGATTATTTTATATCTAAATACAAATATTTAATCCCCATTTACTCTACTTATCTTCTAGTCTCCTCCCTTTCAGTCAGCTTTGGATGCATTCATGCATCCACTGCTTTGAAGGAAGTGGAGAGTTGCTTCTTTTCCAATTTTTGTATTAAACAATATCTCTGATGTTAATGGCAGTATACCTTTAAAAGCTTCCTTTCTTTCAGTCTTAAACTTACTACAATAAAGAAGTAGGTGTTGAACAGTCTGTTTTCTCTTCCGACAAAAGTTGCAAGAGTTATCCTTCACTTTTTTAATTCGAAATAAATGGGCCCTGGTATTTCCAATCCCCGTTCTCGCTTGTATAAATGAAGATTGTGTCATTCTACTGTAATGACTGAACTTGTAAGGTCTCGTTTTGATTATAGGTAATCTTTTCCTGGCTTGCACTTGATAGAGCCTTCCCAGTCCTTTAGCTCTTCTACCCTCTTCCTGTCTCAAGACTTGGGTCTCCCAGTCATTTTGTTAAGGTTATGAGTCATATGGGAACATAGTTACTTGTCACTTGTTATATCTGATTGGAGTATGTAGAGGATGTGTTCGACAGATTTCGGTACTGTCAGAAGTATGAATATATGCTATCTTATACACATCTGTATGACCCATGTCATAGTCTTAGTTCCATCTCGTGATTGACTATCTATAGTAATCACATTACCAATCCAACGCTCAGTAATCCACGGTTCATGAGCGGCCATCGCTGCTCCTG